TCCCCCCCCCCCAAAAAAGCCCAAGCAAGTTTCTTTTCAGAATCTGTGCAGCCTGAGCCTATGCTCTTTCTCACATTTACCCACCCTCCCCATCTGGCTTCAGGCTCTGCATTGCTTGCCTGAGTTGTGGCATCAACAATCTCAAAACTGCTCTCTCTCCATCCATCCTCCACACTCCTATAGGGACACTGCTCTGACCATGGCATTTCCTGTTCAAAAACTAGTAACCCCCCACCCCCTACCAAAAAAAAAAAAAGTGCAAATCTCTCAACCTAGCATTTAAAGCCCTTTACATTTACTCCCAACCTAATACAATATCCATCTCATATTAAAACGCTTCCTTGGCTTCAATCTCCAAATGCTATTTATCCTATTTATGTGCCCTATAGCCTGCCACCAATCCTTAGCCTCTGCCCAGGCAGTATTCTCTTTCTAGAATGCCCTCATCTCTTTCTCCATCTGTCAAAATTCTACTCAAACTTCTAAACCCAGTTCAAGCGTCTTATCCCCCATCTATCCTTTTCAGACCTTTTCAGATGCCTTCATCTTCAGAAGGCTGGGCTGGTAACCTAACCACTAGCACTTTCCTGTTCTTTACTTTGGGAGCATCATCACCTTGCTGGTGGTGGTTAGCACGCATTCAAAAGCCTGCTCAAAACTATGCTCAGGGTTACCCAGAAGGTTATAATGAAGCCAGAAGAAAAGCCCTAAAGAATGCGAACTTTACGAAGGCAGAAACTTCATCTGCAGCTCTTCCACTTCTCCCAGTACCTAAAACTCAGCAGATGTTCAATAACTGTGTATTATAGAAATGAACGAACAAAGGCAGGACCCTAGATCCCCGTCAACCATCGCAGGCCCGTGTCGCCTAAGGGTTTATCGCCATTATTCCGTCATCCTCAGGGAGCCTCAACGACCTCCCTACGACCTGACCATTCAGAGAGGTGATCGGTCTTACCCCTCAGCTTGGGCGAGGCCCCGGAACATGCCCTCCCCTCCAGGGCAGTGTCTCTGGCCCTGGAATATGCCCTCCTCGGTGCTGAAGTGTTTCACCGTCCTGTCCGCGCAGCCCACCAGGATCTGCAAGCAAAGGGCAGGATGGCGAGGGGAGCGAAGCTGCCGCGCCCGGGCCCCCCGCTCCGAACCCGGCCAGCGGCCACTCACCTCGGTCTCGCCGCCCGCGCCCCAGCACAGGGCGCTCACCGCCTCCTCGCGCCGCGGCTGTCCCGCCGCCGTGAAGTTCGCTGCATGTTTTCGCTGAAGGTTCACTCCTGCGGGACGAGGGCGTCAGTAGCGTCGGGGTCGCGAGCGGTCGACCCCCGCACTTCCCGACGCCCCACCCTGCCACCCACCTTTCAGGATTCCAGTCTCGGTGCCGACCCACACATGGTTCCAACGCGCTACGGAGACCGCCATGGCAAAGCCCAGAAGCCAGCGGCTCGCACTTCCGGCGCAGCTTGAGCGTCACCAGCGGGCGCTACGTCGGGTCCCGATAAACGCCTCTCCTGGGAGTTTAAAGAGCGGGAAGAAGAGAACAGGTCCGCTCCTGCTGCAGCTTTTTTTTTTTTTTTTTGCTTTAGGAAAACGAAAGCGGGAGATAGATGCTTGTTAAAGGAGGTCTGAAGAGTGAATCGATCATTTCGCACTTGGAGTGGAATGCATCCTTCCTGGGCCGCAGTGCCGGGTGGAGCCAGCCCAGCCCGACTCCCAGCTGTCACGTGATATGTATACTGTACTATTAGACAAGAGCCCACTTCAGAAACGACTGCAATCCTTAATGAGGGGCGTGGCTTCATTCTCGAGTGTAAAAGACACAGAACAAAGGAAACAGCTGCGTTTTGAAAAGTGGAGATCGGGGCGTCATTTTAAAGCCCTATAACTTGTCTTTCATTTACTGACACGTCCAGTGATACCCTGTTGTGCTGCCTTTTGGGTTTTTGGCTGTTTGGCCTAGAGAGTCCAGGCACTTTCCCGTGTGCCAGACTAGAAATGTAAGGAGCGGTGAGGCTGTTGATAGAAGTGGAGTTTTGTTCTTGTTTTTGGCAGCTGGTCAGTATGGGGGGAGGGGGGACGGGTAAAAGTACACTTGATACCAGTACATAGAGCAGAAAGCGAGAACCCGCGAGTGGCTTTTCCCAACTGCCATTCCGAAAGTTCACGTAGAAAAGTGTTCTGTGGTTTACAATGCATCCGATCAATTAATAAGCCACCTACTGTCCTTAAGGGCTATGAAACAGTAACACACCCGCCAACTTACATTCTCTACTGCCCAAACCACACAAGCCTTGCACGACACGGCTCTGCATAAGCAAATAAAACCGCAGAACCACTCTGTAGAAGCCGCGTACACACCCTTCCTAAATCGAAAGCTAAAACCCCATAACTGGGTTTTTTTTTTTTTTTTTTTAATTAAAGATGACCGGTAAGGGGATCTTAACCCTTGACTTGTTGTCAGCACCACGCTCACCCAGTGAGCAAACGGGCCATCCCTATATGGATCCGAACCCGTGGCCTTGGTGTAATTAGCACCTTGTGTAATCAGAACCGCACCCGTGGCCTTGGTGTAATTAGCACCTTGTGTAATCAGAACCGCACTCCCGAGTGAGCCAGAGGCCAGCAAAAAAAGAATATAAAAAAAGAAAACCACTACTAATTTTCCACTCTCACACAACCGCTGTATAATCGCGGGACAGCTACAGTAGCAAAGCCAATTCTGACTTTCAACCAAAGCAAGTTCCCCCCAGAGGGGGGGGGTGCACCGTTCCTGGAAGTACTGCAATACCAGGTCGATGCGTGGAGTGGACGGAGCAAGCTCCTATTCCATCTCCTACTTCCAAAAATCCATTTAATATATTGTCCTCGGATAGAGGACGTATCAGATATTAAACTGATAAGAACAGATACTACACTTGATCTTAGCCAAAAGGCCGAGAAGCGATACCAACCGCATGGTCGCCCAGCTAGCCTTATCATTATTACCCCTTTTACAGTTATGGTGATACTTAATATCATTAAAGATTAGATCACCCTCCAATACTTAATATTCTTAACTCAAATTTTTAATTATGATTCTGCAAGATAGGAGAGAGTTTTAAAAACAAACCTTAAATATTGTCTCTTACTGCCTCGCGGGCGTGCTCTCTGCTCAGCGCGTTTTGCATAAACCCGCCCCTCTCCTTTTAAAAATCCTTGGGCTTGCTCGTAGCAGACGTGATGTCAATGCCGAGCAGTCTCTTTTTTCTTCTAGATCGTGGCGTTGATCTCCCAGCCGCGAGGCTTCCAAGCGCTCCCCGTCGGCTCCTCTGCCTTACGTTTATTACGGAGAGGTCGTGGCGCCGTTGCAGGGCACATGTTTTGGAGTCCAATGAATTTGGGAACTTTAATCAATTAGAAAAAAAGAAAAAAGAATTGGGTTGGGGTCTCGGCTCGCCAGTTTCGACGTTGATAACGTGAGGCTTGGTACGTGGCCCTCTCTTCTCTCCTGCTGTGTTAAGCACGCACTCTGGCGTGGGCTGAGAGGTGAGGACACCGGGCGGACGGTGAGGGGTGGCCTCTGTGACCGCGCCCTCGGCGTCCCGCGGCATGCAGCCCCCCCC